AACTTTTACCAGACATGACAACCATAAATGTACTGGTATTTTATGTTAACATCACATTGTAAGTCAAAACTTACCAGATTCATTCCTGCGATCATGAAAAAAGGAGCGATTCCTCCTGCTGTGTGCTGCAACGCCAACTCAGCATACAGCAGGAGACACATAGGCTGCTTTACTGATGTCCAAGTCAGGTGCACCTCCAGCCCGATCTTCCTGCAACAAACCAAAGACGCAATTTTATAGTCGAAGAAACAGGATGCAAAAGAGGCAGGAAGCACGCAATTTCGACAGAGGAGGTCAAAGGCGACTCTCCTAGACCAATTCCAATCATTTCCAGCGATTTTAATTTTTTTCACTTTTGGCCAAATTTACAAAGGCTATAGCCTTCCCATTTTTAGCGAAAATGGGTGGGTCCGGATTTCAACGGAAAAGTAGTCGAACCGATAGGAGTGAACGAGGGAACCACAAAACTACTTTTGTTTCCACCAGAAACCACCCCTGTCCACAAAAACTTGCGTTTTAATAGGAGGTCTTTTGAATCTGGGTAGCGTACGATGGGCTGCCTACCTCGCAGGCGAGCCGAACGAAGAAAAACGGGCGTAACTCGCTTAAAATGGGTCTGCGACGTGAAATTTCAACGGAGAGTTAGTAAGAGGGTGCTGTCAAACCAATTCCAGCGATTTTCAATTTTTTTCATTTTTGGCAAAATTTACAAAGGCTATAAATTGATGGATCGGGATTTCGATGGAGGAGTATTCGAATCGACAGGGGTGAACCAGGCACCACAAAACTACCTTTGTTATTTCTGTCAGAAACTACCCCTGTCCACAGAAACTTGAATTTTATAAGAGCTAGTCTCTCTAACTAAGGGCGGGTAGGCTACCTAAGGCGCACTGGCTAAGAAACTCTGCTGTAGGGGGTCGGCACCATGATATTTAGACAGAGCATGTGAAAAGAGAGTCTGCCCCTCCAATCCAAACCAATTCCAGCAAATTTCCAAATTGCCAAGATTTTTAAAAGACATTTTCAGTGATAACAAATCAGCCTGGATTTTGACAGAGGATGATTGAAATTGACAACAAAGAACCAAGGCACCACAAAAAACATCAAAAACCACCCTTTGATGCACATGAAAGGAAGCTCCTCATATTGTCTGTACAGAGACAAATTGGACCAGCGTTGGCGGTTACTGTCATGTCAACTCACCTATTCTTTTGGGTAAAATGACTCCATAGACTTCTCTTGCTCATG